AGCCCCCAGTGAAGCCCAATCCACAGCACCAGGCTCAGCCCTTGGAGCTGGGGACGGCCCTGGGGGGGCACACAGGGGCTGTCATGCTTCCCCGCACAAGGGTTTGGGACAACCCCTGTGATTTTTAAGACATGGGGCTGCCCCAGACCAGAGAGCCGACAACAAACTGGAGGGAGGGATGGCAGGGGCACGTGGAGGAGGGGGACCAGAGCTTGGGCTCCCCCCGGCTCCCATCCCAAACAGCAACGGGGCTGAGTCAGGGCTTATGGGGGCGTTCAAAAGGGGATGCAAACATGGCCCAAAGGCAGTGACTGTTCTCCAGGGCCAGGATGAACTCAGGAGTTGGGAAGTGACCTTCACCCCTTGCCAGCTGGCTCCCCTCAGGGACAAACTCCTGCCAGCAAAGCCTGCTCCTGCTCACACCCCGAGGTGTGCAGGATGGCCCAGGGGCAGAGGGGCCACTCACACTGAGAACGGGACAGGGGAGCAAAACCTGGGAGCTGGGGGAGCAGGGAAAGAAGCATCTTCTTTTCAAACAGGAATCCCCAACGCCATCCCCTTCACTTTGCATAGAGCAGCTTGTGGGCGAGCATGTCCTTCGGTCACCCAGGAGAGCAGCGGCTGTGACCACGGGGATGGTCAGGGGCAAGGCTGGGGGTGAGACCCTGCTGCTCCAGTCCTCCACTGGCAGCCCCAGGGCTTGCACGAGGACGTGGAAAAAAGAACACCGACAAGCCCCAACCCTCCCCATCATTCTGCCCCAGGGTGCAACAAGCCATCCTGATGTTTAAAAAAAAGGAATGGAATAGGAAAAAGAAGGGAGAGGGGGGAAAAAAAAAAAGAAAAAAAGAGGCTGAGATGGAGGGAAAGATCCCCAGGTCAGCGGAGAGGAAGCTGGGAAGCGCCGCGGGGATGCTGTCCATTCACTGCCCAGTCCTGCGGGATCTAACTGTCCTCGCCGTTCTCTCCCGGCCCCTTGATCAGCCGCTTCTGTCCCCGTTTGCCCACGGGTCCCTTGGGCTTGGCGAAGGCCTGCTTGAAGGCATGCTGCTTGGGGTGCACCTCCTCGTAGAGGAACTCTGCCGTCAGCTCAGCTCCATCGTCAATCTCAATCTGCGTCCAGGAGCGGCAAGCGGGGGTTAGAAGCTCCCTGGTGTCTTGACACCCACCTTTGGGGCATCCAAACTCCCGCAAGCCCATTGGCGGGGCTGGACCAAGGCTGCGGCACAGTCCCTTGCAGATGCCCAGCCTGGGTCTCTGCTCCATCACCTCCCGGTGGGCTCGCTCTTACCTTCTTGGCTATCTCCAGGCAAAACTCCTGCTCCACGGTGTCCAGCAACCGGCTCTTGCAGCTGGAGTAGAGCATGCGCTCCTTGATGCTGCATTTGTACCCAGGCATGGAGTAGATAAAGACTGCGAGAAGAGAGCGGGGCTTGTGGTGCTGCCCGGACTCGTGGCCAGGGAGCACCAGGCAGCTGCATCCCAGCCCGATCATGGCTTTTCCAGCCCCAAGAGTCCCAGCCTGAAGGGGAGGGCGAGCCACCCCATCCATCATCCATCCCATCCATCACCCATCCCCACTTCTCCCCTGGCTCTAGGACACCTGCAAACAATGGCTGCACAAATCCTCCATGGCAGCACCCATAGAGCCCTGGGCCCCACCTGGTAGCTTCTTTCAGCACCAAAGAACTTGCCAGCAGTACCCACCACGGGAGGACAGCAAGGGGGAACCAACTCAAGGTCCCCTGTTGCACCATCCACATCCCTGCTTGCTCCCCACGCAAGCAATGGTCCAAGGAGAGCAGGGACCAGCGTGGGCTCTAACTAGCCAGTCCTGGTGCTGGGGCACTCACCGACAGACTCCAGGTAGTCTCCCTCGTGCGAGTGCTTGTACAGGAAGAAATGATAACGAGCCGAGTCCTGGGGGATCCTCTTGGGCAGGTCGGCGATCTCCGTGGGGCTGGTGTGCACCAGGTCGATGGTCTCCCGCTCCAGATCCAGCTTCTGATGGACAGAGGGGACGGGGGAGCGGACGGGAGCGAGAGGTGGCAGGGAGAAGCAGGGGAGTGGGGTAGGTGGGCAAGGGACCTACCAGCTGGATGTAGTTGATCTTCTTCTGCTTGAGCGCCTGGATGGCTTGTTGAGCATCCAACTGCAGGGGAAAGGCCAGGCCCTGCAGGGTCTGGTGCTTGCTCTCCACGCTGATCTCCGTCTTCACCTGGGGATGGAGACCACCCCGAGCATCAGGGCAGGGACTGGCGAAGGGTGGGGAAGGGAGGGAAAGGAAAACCAGCCAGTGCCACACCGAAAGGTTTCTCATCCCAGAAGCCACCTGACACCTGGCTCCCGGGGACTGCGGCGTTAAACCACTGCAAGTCAGCCAGGCTCGGGGCTGATGCCTGTTGCTGTGCCACTGCCATGCCGGGAGACCTCCGGCCCCAGCCATGCACCCCCGCACCCCCTGCTTCACTCTGGCAAAGACGAGCTCAAAACCGATGTTTCCCAGCGGGTCCCTGGCAGGGACGCTGGCACTGACGCTGGCACATGCCCATCTCCCACCATCTCCCACTGCTACTGGCAGGTGACAGGGGGAGCCCTGGAATCCGGCGTCCCTCCTCGGTGGGTTTAGCTGCAGCAGACAGGCACTCCTGCTGCCACCGGCGCTGGGAAACTGGAGATCCACTGCTCGGAAAGAGCCTGGCCGCTGTTTTTCCTGCAGGCCCTGCGAGGCAGAGGCTGCCACCCGTACCCCAAGCAAACCCCCGAGTCCGAGGGACTGAACCACGCTTCAAAGAGGGAAGAGAAAGAGATGGTGGAGACGTGGAGCCACCCCGGGTGCCTCCACCCAGCCGCAGCCCGGGGTCCCTGACCAGGAGTGGAGGGTGCCGCGAGGCGGCAGCGGGAAGAGGGCAGGACGCGGCCGGCGCGGCATACCTCCTCGGGGCCGGGGTACTCTACCAGCGATGGGCAGCAGCAACAGCCCCCCACCATCTGCCACAGAATACAGGGAGATGGCGTCACCCTGACAGCCGAGGAGCCCATCCCACCTCAAAACCTTCCCCTGGGCAAACAGTCCAGCAACCCTAACCCAGGTGCTCCACAGCAAGTGTGGTCCCCGTCCTTTGGGATCGGTTTGGGGGATTTTAGATAACAACAGTCCAGTCTTTCCTTTTTCTCCCCTTTTCTTTTTTCCCCTTTTCCTTTCGCTTTTCTTTTTTTGTTCCTTTTTTCTTTTTTCCCTTTTCCTTTTCCCTTTTCTTTTTTCACCCTTTTTCTTTTTCACCCCTTTCTTTTTCACCCCTTTTTCTTTCCCTTTTCTTTTCCTTTCCCCTTTTTCCCCTTTTATTTTCTTCCCCCTTTTCTTCTTTTCTCTTTCTCCTTTCTTCTTTTCTTTTCCCCTTTTCTTTTCTTTCCCCCCCCTTTCTTCTTTTCTTCCCCCCTTTTCTTTTCTTTTTTCTCCCCATTTCCTTTCTTTTTCCTTTTCTTTCCTTATTTTTTTTTTCCCTTCTTCTCCCACCCCCTGATAGAGAAAAGGAAGAAAAAACAAGGCATGCCAAGAGAAACACAGGAGTTTTTGCTCACATCTCAAGAACAGCTCAGCAGCACCAAAGTGCATCTGGTTATGAGTCTGCCCTTTGTCACAGCAGCCCCACGCTGTCCCCACACCCCAGGGCGGTGACAGATCTGGGATGCCCGGAGCAGAACATGCAGAAAAACACCACTGGGAGAAGGAAAAAAAAATGGGCATGAACCAGGCAGAGCAGCCTACCATCTCTGTGCTCGAGTCCTGGGAACGGGAATCCTGCCAGCGTAGGGAGAGGAGACACACTGTCAATGGTACCCGTGGGGGACAGGGCGGAGGTCTCGTGTGACACGAGGAGGGAAGGGGGACACACGGGCATGCCGGGCGGGTGCAGGCGTACCGTCTCTCTGCTGGAGGCCAGGGAAGGCAGGTCCTGGCAGCGCCCGCAGGGAGAGCGGCAAAAAAAATGACACGGGAAACATGAGGGCTGGGGAGGAGTGGGAGGGAGAGCCCCTGCAGCCCCACACGCAACGTCCCTTGCGGGTTCCCCGGCGGGGGTGGCCACAGCCCAGGGGCTGGAGGAGCTCCAGCGATCACAGCAACAGATTTTGGAGGCTATCGGTTTGGGGGAAGAAAACGCCCAAGCCTCTACCCGTGCCAAGCATCCTGGTGGACCAACTGGGTGTGAAAGCGCAGCTCTCGGGAAATAATTGCTCAAGGATCACCTGGTGCCGGGCAGGCAGGGGGTCTGGCTGACCCCCAGGCTCTGCTGTCCTCCCGTCCCCGGGTGCTGCGGCACCAGGGAGGGTGCAAGGACGAGCACGCAGGGGCTCAGAGGACGCACACAAGCTCGCCTGGGCCTGCCCCATGGAGTGGTGTGGCACGAGGGCGTTACCACTGCCAACACCTCCAGACTCTCATCTTTCTCCCCCCAAAATGCAAGGAGGTGGGGAGGACCACAGCAGGGCTGGAGAGAGCTGCAGCTGCAACACGAAGCACCCTGGAGTCCAAAAATCCCAAGAGGTGTCCCAGCAACGTCAACACCACCATATACCTCTGTATTTTCTACTCCTCCTCTTTCCAAAAACATTAAAAACTGGCTCACTGAAACACTCCCGAGGCTGTCCAGGAGCCCAGCACGGGACGGCCGAGCATGTGCTGCGTCCCATTCCCCAGCCCCAGCCGCGCTGGCAGCAGGCTTGGCTGGGGGGTTATTTTATCTCTTTTTCTTTAGGTTAGTTTTTTCCCTGTCCTTCCTCATTGCTGGCATGGTGCTGGCCGTGGCTAACAGTATTTCTCTGTCTTACGGTGAAACCTTCATGAGGCAGGTGGTTCTGGCAAAGCCTTTGCTCTACCCACCCACCGACACTGTGCAGCAGCTACGAATGACCCCTCCTTACACACTGCCATGGTTCGGCAAGTTTTGTTCCCTCTTAATTCTTCTGCTTCCTCCTCCAGCTCCAAATCTGCCTCTCTCTCCCCTGCGGCCCCACGGTGCGAGACGCCTGGCTCCTGTCTGCGTCCTGGAGCCCACCATGCTTCCAGAAATTCTTCCCACTCACAGGTGTTAAGGCAGCTCGATCCCAAATCCAAAGCCATTGCTTAGCCCACGGTCTGCTGACAAATTCCAGCTCAGTAAAGCTGGTGATGCATTTTCCAGCTTTTTAAAATCTCTCTTTCTATACATATATAGATCTGAAATGGCAAATTCTTGTGAGCTCCCACCCAGCTATCAAGAAGGAGGGTAGCTCACGACATCGCTTCTGTCCATGCAAACCTAAAACCATGGGGGAGGCCCGGCTCACGCAACACAAAACCTCCTTTTCCAAAGGCTGGACAGCTTCCTGGGGGATGCACAAACCCGAGTCCTTTCCATCTGGGTGTAAAAGGCACCTGTGCCAGCCCTGAAACCGCTGCTATGCAGCCATCACCTCCCCACTCCTGCTTTGCTGCTGCCCTTCCCCTCCCATCCCTCTCCACACTCATCCATCCAGTGGTCCAGGAGGATCCCAGGGAGCTTCTGCACCTGCTACAAACCTGGTTGCCATCTCGGAGTGTCATGCATCAGCGGCATTAGAGGAGAGGAGAGGAGAGCTGCACCGTCAGCTGCCGCTCCAGGCGAGGGGCACAGCAAAGCGCTTGCAAAGCTGGTGCTTTTTTAACGAAACAACGCCCCTTGTGTCACTCCCCAGATCCTAACGGATTGCCTGAAGCCAGGGGGATGTGCAGGGTTCTGAACTGGTAGCGGGGGCACGGGCAGGTACACAGAAGGGCTGAGGTCAGGCCTGGCCCAGGGGCTCCTTCCCAGGTTGCTGCTAGCCCCGACCGCTCACTCCCACGCGCTGGATCTGCTCCCCCAAGTGAAACTGCAACACACACACGTGCAAGGACCCCGCAGCCTGCGCACAACATGCACACACGTGCGAGGACCCTGTCAGCCCGCAGGCAGCACGCAAGGCTGGGGGCATCCATCGCCGTACTGAGCTGGGTGCTACAGTTTGAGAGCTGCTCCCATATAGCCCCCCCGTGGTGAAAGCCTCCTGCTTTGCACGGCTCCAGAAACTCAAAGCCGTGTTTACCGTAGAGCTGTGAGTTTCCTCGCCTGGGAAGGCGAGCGTGACACCGCACGCCCCAGCTGCAGCTCCCACCACCTCCTGCTCTGTGCCCAGGGCCGAGTGGACGCAGCCCCTGCACCAACACAGAGACCCTTCAGCACAGTGCCGCTTCCCACCTTTAAACCCACAGGCACAAATATACCCATTTTCCTCTCTTTCTAAATGCTGGTGACTGCTCCCGTGGCCTGAGCTGACACAGGGGACAGCATATTTTTAAAAAAGAAAACCCCAACTAAAGCAAATGGCAGCAGCACCTTCGTCCAGGAGCTGCATCTCGCAAAGGCGAGGGTGGGGAGCAGAGCACGGCAGATCAACCAGAAAACAAGCCCCACGAGCACCACTTACCTGAGCCACTTGACCCTGCAAGACACAGCTGAAAAAAAAACCCCAAACTACTTCATCCTGCAGCACTGGCCAGCCAAGGCAATGCCACAGACACTCGAAGGTGCCAAACAAGCCCTGGAGCCACCATCAGCACCCATCTCTCTCTTCTCCCAGGTGGACATCACCTTGGATCCTCCGGCACAAATCCTGCCCAGCCCCTCCAGGCAGGGAGCTGGGATAATCACACCGAGACTCATGCGGTGACCGCTCCTTGGTGGCATCTCCCAAACGCCCCTCAACTCCGCCAGTCTCAGAGTCGGTACAAACCTCCTGCCTCAGCATTAATTAACAGCAAAAGACATCAGGCTGATTGGCTTCGCATCTTGCAGGCATATCCTCATCCACCCATGAGCCCCACAGCCCCAGCACAGGTGGAAGAGAGAGGGATGCTCCTCTAGAGAGGAAGCCTTTCCACGGCATCCCAGTGAAATCGCCCTATCCTCAAAAAATCCCAATACCTGGAGGGTCAGAGACTGCTCCTGCTTTCAGCCTCAAATTGCCTTCTGGTTGCGAAACAGAGCCCCGAGCTCATGACAAAACATCTGTCAATTCCTCTTTATGCCATGAATTTGACCGTAAGGATGCTCGGTGCACCTCAGCAAGGGCAGGAATGGGTTAAACCGCAGGAGTAGGAGAGAGCACAGGCAAAAACAGCCATCCCTTTTAGCTTGATGCTGGGATGTTTGATCCTGCTCCCATGCCTCCAGCAGCAAACACATCCCTGCATCCCACATCCCTGTGTGCCCCGGGGGTCCCAGGCTCCTTCTCCCTGGGTCAGCGGACACCCACCTCGTTGATGCGGATCTGCTGGAGCTCCTGCTCGGCTGCGGTCAGCGGGGCTGGGGCAGAGCAGGAGGACACGTGCTTTTGGTAACCGCTCAGGGACACATCCTCCTGTGGACAGAGGGACAGGGCGGGTTATCGCTGCGGGGCTGGATGAGGCCCCAGCCTCGAGCCTGCGCCTGAACAACTCGGTGGGTTTTGGGCTTTCTCCTTGCCAGGACGACCAACCCAAGCAACACTCTTAGATGCCTCCATGCAGAGCCCACCCTCGATTTTAAACACTGCCCATGCCTGTTCAGCCCACCCTGACCCTCCCTGGTCACCCGTGCCTGTGGCAGCGCAGCTCCTCCGGCTCGTTAACGGAGCTTGTGAGCGTGGAAGTGAAACGGAGAGAGAGACCCTGGCCCAGGGGCGGGAGGGCAGCCCCCGGGGATGCTCCCTGGCTCCCATCGGCACCAGAGAGACCTGATGACCAGGAGGCCCTTGTTGTGTAGCTCCTTCTGCGAAAAGCCCACGGAAGAGAAGGAGAAACCTCCCACCAAGCACTGCTGGGAAGCGCAGCCAGAGAACCTCGGCGCGGCAACAGCTCTGGCTGCCAGAGAGACAGTGCCACCGCCTGGCGCTCCTTTTCCCACTCGGAGTAAAGCTCTGGATCTCCTGGGAGCCCTCCTCCCATCTCTTCCACAGTCTCCATCACTGACCATGGCGGCCACCCAGGAGACCAAAGCGGCACAAGGGACAAACCTCTGTGCCATGCCCCCCGCCCGAACGCCAGCATCCCACGTCCCAAACGGCTGCCCAGGAACCACCACCGTACCTT